ACAGACATACCTATTTCACCACTTCAACACTACTCTTAAGGCATACAGTAGTTTTTCCACTATTGTCAAAGGTAGTGTTTCAGATGCTTTCTTAAATCCTTGGACTTTTTTGATTACTTATTAGCACTCAATAATATAAGCATCTACTTTTTTATATGATTCATAGATGCTATCTTGCTGGATAAGAAGCAAGAACATGTGCCATTAATTTTCCTCTATTTTTGTTTCATTGTTCTTTAGGGACAATTTTATAATGGACTAAGTTTGTTATTATCATTGCATAGAGAAGGACATCTCTTTCCCTGGGAGATACAGAAACTCTGAACCTAGGCATCTGCACAGATGCTACATTAGATTGACTTGGAACAGTGAACCAACTGGAGGCAAGCTGATCAACTCAACTACTACCTGTCCTCATTTAAGGGTTTGACTTATTGGTGCTTTCCATGCAGAATGGGGACAGTTCCGTGGATTCCTCCAGGCAGGACCTGCTGCGCCTAGACAAGTTCCTTTATGTTTCAAGGTGCTGATTAACATCTAGGGTAGAGACTCCGAGGCTACAAAATCAGTCCAGTTCTGCATAGATTGCAGGTAGTCAGAGGAGACTTGCAAGTAGCCAGTCACTTGTATGTAGTCAGAAGAAACTTCTTGCAGATGCAGAAATGACCATGTAGGACAGATTTGTGTACACAATTTAGGTAGGTAGAAGATATTTTGTATGTAGCTCAGGATAATCGCTAGGGATGGACCACGTGTGTGCTGGAGCGGCCCCAAGGAGCATGAGACAGCTGGATGTAACTGCACAGTAACTCATGAGTCAGAGTCTCACCTGCTCCAGCCAACACCACCACTACGAGGACCTTTGCAACTGAAACTCCTCTTGCCAACTGGACACTGACTGACTGTCCTGTTCAAGGATTTGATTCCCCACAGTGATGCAATATTAGCAAAATCAGACCCCGTTGACCACGGGGTCATCAGATTTAGCTCTTCCCTATCCATATGAATCAGAAAGTAATATTTTTTCTATTAAATTATGGCTACCCAAGCCCTCAGCAAGCAGGCATGGGTGTCTTTGAGAGTGCTGTCATTACTTTGGGCAGTCAAACTGATAATTGAACACAGAGATAATATTTCATGTTATACCCATCTATTGGCTAAAACTATACCCAGGCTGGGTTCAAACAGAGCATGAGATGGTAGAGGTTGAAGTCCTTTGGTTAAAGGTATCTCACCTCATTCCATAAGGAGTCTAAAAGTACTTTCGGATTCCTTAGTAAACATGAACAAGATAGAGGTCTATTTCCAGTTTTCTAATCCTCTATGTTTTCTTCTCTAACCCATTTTCAAACAAGGCATGTAGCTGCTTCAGATGGTGGGGACAGAGAAGACAGACCCCAGTTCACAAAGTGCAGGGAACATCCAGCACAGAGGGTTCTCATACAATTTGTTCATGCTCATGGCACCTTCTCAAAGGTCTGGAAATCTGAGAGGATAAAAGGAGGTACAGGCCATTTAGAGCAGTGAAATTTCCAGTTTGGTGTGAAGGAGATAACCTAGAGAGAGACAATATTTGATTGGCTTATTCTTCCTCAGTGAGGCAAATTTTAAGTTATGGACCTCTCTTGTAGCACAGCAACCTAGTAAGGGAGTTAAAGGTAACAGGCAATTAAACACAAACAAGAGACCGGAGGCATCCAAGGTTTAGGAATGCCAGGTGTATTAGTGGACAAAATGTCACAAAATAGGTTGCTGAAACTGTCCATTGGGGCTCAGAGGTAAGTTCTGCTGCTAGACCTTCCTCACTTACCTTGAAGCAGCAATATAACCTTGCCTCGGTCCTAATGAAGGAAAGCACTAGAGCTCAGTGTGACTACTCAAGTGACTTATAAACCTCCATAAAACCAAAGAATCAAAACCCAAACAAAAGCAGAGCAGTGATTTGAGCTTGAACCTGAGGGGTGTTGATGTTCCTGAACTTGCAAGGATCTCAAGAACAGCATCTCATAGGTCTGTATCTCTAACTATTTAAATAAATGTATTTAGGAATCTAAACATAATTAAACTAGCTTGGAAGAAATAAAAATATCCACCTCTAAAATTTATAGTTGAAACAAGAGTTCTCTCAAAGAATAAATGCAAAATTGTTCAAAGAGAGCAGAAACAAAGAACAATAGTTCATGCACACTGATATGTATTGACTCTCTGCATTCCCTTAGTAAGATAGAAAAAGTCACTTTCAGTGATAAGGTAAAACTCTCATTGTAACCAACTGTTTAAATGCATTCAGAAAGCAGAAGGAGGATTCTTTATTAAAAAAAAATTCTACAGATTTTGAAGAAAGGCATTTCAGACAATTCAGAACACCTCTGCTTACCACCATGTGGTATTAATCCAACCCAAGATATGAAGTCACTTTTCCCTGCAGCATAAATACGAGTACCAGATCAGATCCTCAGCTGGTATCCGGTATAAATTCCCTTGTCTTCACTGACCATATGGAAAAGATACAATTTTTCAGCAGCTGAAAAATGTCATTTTTCAGGCACGTGCATGAAATTAGCATTAATGCACGCTATATGTAATTAGCATTAATATTTCAAAATTGAATAAAAACTAGGATAGAATTTTCTCTCGCCACAACAAGATCTTGGCATTCCAAAGAACACATCCTCTTTGTTGATGGACATACTTATATTTGATTGGCAAGAGAAAGGAAACAGAAAATACTTAATACTGGTCCATAAAAAATCCATTTAAAACTAAATACCAATTGCATGCCAGGCAAACTGAAAACCTTAGAAAGAACATCTCCATCTTGGTTTTTATCTCCAGAGTGTCAGCTGACCAAATAAGCAGCTGTCCTGGGAGGCTGCTGTGACAACAAGTTATATTTACCAACTGCCACTTTCAAAGTGTGCACCTGCTAATAAGGTGATAGAAGAATATTTGCACTCATGTTTACAAAAAATGGACCCAGGTAATTATTTCTTTTCTAACTGCATTATAAAATTTCTCTAGAAGAAGAAATTTGTTCAATCACAGGTTGTTTCCCACTTCATTGCCATATTGACTAATAAACAGCCTCATGTCAGATTTGAGTGATCTACCTGACAGCACCACATGTAGGAGGATGGCTGTTCACATTGCCTTCCTCACGAATGCACTCTTTTGTTCTACAGCCAAATAATGGCTTTGAACTCTCTCCCACCCTTGAATGCACTTAGTTTTATACACAGTTCAGTTCTCAGGGCTCCTTGAGCTCCAAAGTTGATTGCTGCAGCTAATGTTTTCCCTGCCCAGCTCCATACATGCATTTCTCTGCAACACTGCACTACTGGTTTAAATAAACAGAGATGGTTATTTAAGCATCACATTGAGTTTGTGGGAAGAGGTTTAGGCTGCCTCTTAAACTCCTTACGAAATGCAGCAGCTGGTGGGGGGGCACACCCATGTGCTTCTTCAGCTACTTCCCCACTCTACCATTTGTGGGTCTGCTGAAGATATTCTCAGACAGGCTAAGGAAGAAAAGCTTTTAGCTCAATGATAAGTATCAATATATGTCATTCCTTTAGCAGCTTTAAGGTGAACTATTAGATCAAAATGCTGTTGACAATTCAGACTTTTCATTATTAAAACAACCTGATCACCCACAATATCAGCCTAGAAAAAAAGGAAAGCCCTCTTGCAAAATTAGGACTCACACTTCCACTCACTTTGATTACAGTTGGTAATCCTTGGCCTAGTACCGTGGGATAATAAACTTGAAGGGATTGCCAGTACCATGTACTATAGCAGCAGGAGCTACAGGAGAATAACTCTTCAACTAATATATATTGCAAGTCTCATCACTGATGCAAAGAACACAGATACTAGATTTTCTAATTGGTTTTACACTTAGTGCATGACCCAGTCAGATCACCAGATGTCCCAAATTAACAACTGTAAAATTATATGAATAGAAGACCTTTTTACTAGGAGGTCTAGAAAAACCCTCTCCTTTTTGTCCTGTGCACTTGAAGTCTACTGGGGTAAAAAAAAAATAACAACTTCAATTCCCACAGATCCACAAGTCAGTCAAGCAATTGTTCAAACTGTTGTTAGTGTGGCTTGTACTATAAGGAAGCAAGACATTTTGTTAATTCCTACAAATAATATTCACTGGAGTAACTGATAAATCTACTAGCCATTCCTGCACACAGCAAAACTCACAACAGTAATTCAAGCAGTTGCCTGGCAAGGCTCATTATACAGCTATGGTGTTTTCACCAAGCAGCAAAGTGTGATGGAAAACTTCCATGTCCCACAGTGACATTCTGGATATACTAGAAGTAGCAGAAAGACACCTACATACATAAAACAAGGCTTTTCTGTTTGTGTCTCACTCATGGCTCTGTCATTAGCTCACTGCATCTCAGACAACTTGCTTCATCTCTATGACTTTTTTCCATACACCTTCCAAGATCATTATACTTCCCTGTGTACAGTCATACTCTGATAGCCGTAATACTTTTTAAGGTACTTTCCTTTGAAAATGAATCCTTAAATGACTTACATAAACTCAGTGTCTGTGCCTTTGCCTCTATTCCAGGCAAGGAGCAGCAAGGACATAACTTAGGCAAAGACTACGTCTTACTGTGCATTCAGCCCTCATGTCTGGCGTTACAAAACTGTACAATACAGCTGTACATTTGCAACAAGTCATGCTGCAAACATGAGGGTCAACTTTATTTTGCAATTCTGGTTAGAGGATGAAAAAAACCCCCACTTGATGCAACATATCTGCTTCTCCCGCAGATTAATCACTCTTACAAGGCCAACGGAGCTGGTCCATGTAGAAAGGTGTATATAGAGCAACGTACTTGATGACAGAGCCAGAGTTGCATTTGAAAAATAAAAAAGATAAAAGCAGGGAAGAATGAAGTCTAAAAAACTGAGATGGATCACTTACTCCTTGCTTGTTCTGTGAACCTGAACAAGCTTGACATGGTTTTGTCCTAAGGGTCTTAATACTACTTGAGCCAAAGGAGTTTCTACAACTCTGTAATAACCCGCACCACTGCTCAGCTCTCTTGCCATTATATTACATTGAGATTAGGTTGTATTTTGCCCAGGTTAACTTAATATTTGTCTCTGAATGAAACAGAGGGCAATAGAACATCATAAGCTTCTACTGATCAGAAGTTCAATACATTTCTAAGTTCCCCTTTCTAAATTAACAACACAAACTCTTACAATTCTTCTGCACCAGTCATAGTTAGATGCTCTATGATTCAGAAGTGAAACAAAGACGTGATGCTGCTGGGCAGTTTTTGCCATGCAGGTACTTACATATTCTTCCATGTCATTAAAGATGTCAAAGAAAATTCTGAAGAACCACCTAAAATGGTAACAATGGATCCAGAAAGATATCTTGAATTAAGTCATGATGGAATGAGGCAGGAAGGAAGAGTGTATTCTTCCTATTTTCCCCATCTATACATTTCTCTTTGGGAAAAAGCAGACAACAGGAACAAAATTTTCTACCCAGATCACTATTAGTTCAATTGACATGAATTAGAGATATGAATGAGTGACCTACCTACATAAAACATCTCAAAAGTAAGAGTGTAAGGATTAGGCACATCTGAATCCAAGTTACATTTTTCTAATCAATAATTATTGTTTACTGTCCAAAATAGCTTGAAATAGTGTTAGATATATTATTCTTCCAATAATGCTTTATTATACTATCACTTTCTAATTAAAATTGTGAAAAGGCTCTATTTAAAAAAGTATACGTATCTGGAAGGAAATTAATACTAAAGAGTTTCATCCTATTCCTGTGAATCTGAAACTCTGAAGGAAAGAAATTTGAATCTACAAATTCATTCTATATTTCACATTTATTCTTCCACATTTTGAAACAAGAAATGTTGGGGGGGTGGGAAGCTATGTTCTTTTTGTGATTTTCTATTTCTGGTCATTTAGGTATGGCTTGTCAGTTAGGTCTACAGAGTTTCAAAATGGTTTATAATTTCTATCTGTATATGGGTTATAATTTCTATCTGTATTGTTGTTCTTATATTTATTCCTCCTGAAAAACAGGTGCATCTTCTGCTCACCATGTCATGCATTTGTCTCTTGGGAGAGTAGGTGGTTCTCACAAATATAAAAACTGTTAAGCTCTATAAGACAGAAAGAAATTCAGCATTAAAAAAATCCAGTAGCCAAAGTGCAGCAAAATGTAATGCTGCACTCTGCTAAAATAACCTCCCTTCTTCTCCTGACACTTCTATTGAGTACATGACAATGTCTGTACATTCCCCCTCAAGTTACAACAACAGTATTTCCTAAACCTGGCTGAACATCTTAGAAAGGAAGGCAACTTTTAACCCCCCAGTATTCATTTCATTAGATTCAAGTCTGATACTAAATTATCAATTTAAAAAAGAACTCAAAATTGGTAGCAGCTAATTTTAATTCCCCTACAACTGTCATGGTCTAAAAAGAAGGTTTAGCAACCTGAAAGAAACCTACACACAAAAGGATCTCGTGACATAGGAGGATGACTAGTTATGTATTCAAAAGTCAAATACAAATAAAATGAAGAAAGACATACTCATTTTTGTACAAGCTGGCATTTCATCTGTAAAAGACATCTGTCACTTACATATGGCACAACCCTCAGCATAACAGGGAGAGCATTATTAAGTGCTGCAGAGCAAATATGAAGCTCAAAGATAGGTCAGACAGGGACAGGGACTTTAAGAGGACTTCATTTCATCAACACCAATTCTCTGCATAATCTGCAAAATGCAGGCTCCAAAAAGGTTTCCTAGAAGAGTGCAAAAAACCCAAACAGTGCATCCATCAAAAATTGTTTCACGGTGTCTTCAGTTTGGGGTTAACCAAAATACTGTAATTATTATCATCTATTTGTGTGTTTTCTCCTCATATTCACAGAAGCACTTGATTCTTTCTTGAGAAAAAATGTTTTTAAAAACTGTGGCAGTCAGACCTACAATGGACAAGTGAGCACTGGCACTTCCCCCTTTGCTACAAGGGCAACCAGCAGGTTTGAGACATACTCAATACTCAACAAAGACCAGGTTTTCAGGAGAGCTCACGTGTCTCACTCAAGCATCATTAAGTCTGTGCATTGGCTAATTGAGTGTAAGAAAAAGAAATAAAAAAGAAAGAAAAAAAGAGGCCTTAACTCCCTCTATTCTTTACCATTTTGTTTAGGATTGGCCTCAAAGTCAAAACCTCAGGAAATATTTTTCAACTCTTTCGCTTATATACCACTGTGCCAAGAGATCTTCAAGACCCCTCACTTGTATGTTTTGTTCTCTGCATCACCACTCCCTTCTCATTGTACTCCCACCCATGTGCAGAATTCATTAGCCCTTTGCCTTCCATCACAGCACTTAAATAAGTGAATCTTCCAGTGGATTCAACATTTAAGGGCTTCCATGGGGGAAAATCAGGTGTTTAGCTTTTCAGTTCTTTTGGAGCTGTGGCCTTCAGCACTTCTTGGTAAGACTTCTAAAGCAAACAAAAGAAAAAAAAAAGAGAGAGAGATTTCTTACTTCCCCGTTCTTTTGCTGTCTTGCAGCCCATGGGATCAGAGAGGACGGAGATGCGCAAACGGCAGATGTCTACGACCCAGGACACCCCAAGTGCTGCACAGGCTCAGCTCAGCACAGGAAATCGAGGGTCCAATGCCTGCTGCTTTTGTTGGTGCTGTTGCTGCAGCTGCTCATGGTAACCCCTCTCCTTAAAACCTCTGGGGAACAGAATTGCAGGGAAGGAACACATATCTAGTATAAAGGACAACATTAACCAAACAAAACACCTGCGTAATTCTGCAAATCTGGGACTGGGAGAGATGACTGCGCACAACCTTCTACTTCAGTCTACTCTCTCTTTGCTCTGCCATTGAAATAATAGATTAAAAAAAAAAAATTTGCACAGTATCTCTGTTGTACTTTTGTTGTCAGTACTGTGCAATGGAAGGTCTGTTTTGTGCAGGACTGGTTCTCCTCAGCATTGAGATTCAACAAGGCTTCCACTAAAAACTGAAAGCAATACCAGAATGTATCACAGCTTTAGATTCAGATTTGGGACCCAACAAGCAGCACTGAGGGTGTTAAATGGAGTTAGGAGAAGGTGGAAGAATTTGTAGGTCAGAAAATGAATAAACAGGTGCCCCAGCACTGTTCTTTTCCTCCCTGAAGGCAACTGGATCTGTTGTCATTAATTAGTTCTGCCAACTAATGGCACCTGCAACTCATTTGAAGATAATCCTTGGGATCAGAGACTTAAACATTGTGGGTACTTGCTGAAGATAAGGAGTTAAGCAGAAATAATTCTGAAGAACTCCCATTACAGGGTGTTAAGGAAAAAAATCTATCAGGTAATCAAAGCAAAAAAGGAGAAGGAATCACTTGATTCCTTAAATTAATGATGCGTTCACTTTCACTTTCTCACCAGCTCCTCTAGATCCAAGTGATTTCATTCAAACCTGCAGTAAATCTTTCCATACTGTATCTATATCTGCTTAGTGGATGAGACCAGAACTTGCATTGAAATAAAGAAAAAGTCTTGAACAGCCATAGGAGTTCAACCAAAACACTGATAGCAAGCAGAGTGCATCTTATAAACTCACTATCCACCACTTGACCACTTCAGAAGAAGCAAACCTGGCACTGGGGTGAAGGGAAGAAGTCATAAATAGACTTAGAGCCCACGCTAGGAATCTATTCCACCAGTTCTCCAACAGCACCTCGTGGCAAATGCTTTGGAGAACACTATTAGAAGGTAGGGGAAGAGCAGGCTGATTGTTTCTTTGGTATTGGTACTTAGCTCAGCAGAAGCCAAGACACCCAAAATTCTGCCCTCCCTAATTCAAACAGTGAATATTTTGCAAGGATAAAAGACTGCTTGGAGAGGTTTTTTGCAAAATGCCCAGTACTCTGGCTTTGATCCTAAAAAGCTTTTCAGCAGGTGCTTAGAGGTAAACTAAGGTAGAATTTAAAGAGCTATTAGGTACTGTGCCTGTGCTGGATCAGAGTTTGCTACCTTGCAGAATGACATCTATGTTAAAGCATCCCATACAAATTCCAGTGCCATCTCAACATCTGTCCAGTGCAATTGCAAGTGGCTCAGTCCAGAGCTTCATTACACAAACATGTTTTTCCATAAAAGGGAAAAATAAGATGCATTTATCTAAGTCAGAGTACAAAAAATTTGCATTTTACCTTTTAAATTGTTGATAAAGTGCATTTTTTGACATTTTACCTGATATTTTCCAGAATGCTCATTTTCTGTGCATGTCACTATTCAAACAATTCAAAGAAAGCAATTTACTCAATAGGGTGTGTGAAAGTACCCAAATTTCATGATACTTAAAACTCCTATTTGCGTTTCAGAATCATCTGGGAAACCAATACAGGCTCTGAAACAGAGCAGCTTGTTTTAGCTTTAAAATAATTCCTGATTTATTTTTTGTTGAGAACAATTGTTTTCTAGTAGCAAGAAATGCAAAACAAACCGTAATTAAGCTATTTATATTCCCTGTTCATAGACCCTTTCCCTCAAAATAGCCCATGCACTTGGAACAGAAAAATTATGAATAAGAATAAAAATAACAGTCTATATGAGTCATGCAGCTGAGCTGCTGAACATCCAATATTCAGCATACTCTTAATAGTAGATTTAGAATGAAGTTAAATGAGTTTCTCAGCTGGATGCTCAGAGCCTGTGTTCATTCCTACAGCCAAAACTCAAGCCTCCAGGCTGTTACTCTTCCAGATCCTGAGAGGATGTAGTGTTGCACTAGTCTCTTTATTGTTTACATTTCTAGGGAAAGAACCTGCCTGTAAGTAATTTTCTGAGACATGGTGTGTTCCCTTAGGGAAGCTTTTGTTATTTCTTTTGTCTTTTTCCCCTTTTGTGCATTAACCTATGAAGACTGTAATCCTTTCTATTGGATCTGTTGGTTCCCCTAAATCCAAAAATAGCTATGACAAGAATATCACTTCTTGTCTGTATGTGAGGAGGAATACATAATATATCACTTTATATATTCAAAAAATATAAAAAAGGTAGTAAATGCTTCAGACCTATATAACCCAAAAGAATAGAGAACTAGGTTTACTACTTACTTTTTTCTTTTTTTCTGGAAAGGTAAATTGAAATAGTTCATTGGTTTGAATGTATGGTTCAGATGTTGCTGAAAAAACTGTTTGCAATATCTGCTCTCCAATAGGAAACCTTTCCTACCTCTTCAATGCATGGACTGCCCTGGCAAAGAAAAAAGCAGGTCTCTGCAAATTATGGACTAAGAGTAGGCAAAGCAGTAGAAGGAGATACCTAGTAAATAGTAAGACTGCAAAGAAGACTTAGCCAAGAGTTTAGAAGGCAAAAAGGGCAGAAAAATCAACTGGTTTAACAAAAAATCTTATTAGAGATAAATGAGACTCTTAAGGATTAAGGTAACAAAACTTAGAACATCTGCATGGATGAAAGGTAAGATACAAATGAAGAAATTAAGTTTAATATTTATCAAATGATAACAACTGTGTTGCTTTATTTCAGCTGGAGGACCCATTTCATATAAATTACAGATTATAATTCACTGGGACCTTTTCTTCTTGACATATTTTAAGCAGCTTTACAGATTATATGAATGTCTGTGTGTACGCACATGCATTTCTCACTAAGTTATGAAGACCTAGATATACTGGAATGTAGTCTCCATTTCCTAAAAACAAAATGTATTTTCTCAAATCCAGTTTCAAACGAAAAAGAATCATTTACAACTACAAAAGAAATTTTTACAAACTAGAGCCATCTAAGCTAACATTTGATGAAAGCAGCATGACAGCTATCCTTCCATGGGACACCGCTAGCGATTGCAGCAAACTTTTTTTTTTGATAATGCTACAAACAAGTGCTTCCAGTCAGACATATTCAAAACAATATTCAGCAATGATAGATCCACTCTGTGCTCCAGGCCTCATTCACATTTTGAAGTATATACTAGAACTTTCTTAAAGCTGCAATCAATTACCACACAATCTGGCTATATCTACATCTTAACTCTGAAAGATGCTTACCTTTCCAACATCACATATGGAAGTCTCTAGCTTACTTAAAACTTATATCCAGCTTCTGAACTCTGGCTTTCCTGTAACATGGTATTACCACTCCAAACCAGAGTCTTGGCCCTCATTGTGCTCTATGGATATAAAAAAAATAGCCAAGGAGGAAAAAAAAATTAAATAAACAAATTCAAATCCACCTACCTTTAAATCTAACTCACATAAAACCAGTGCATCAAGTCTAACCTAAGTAAAAACAGTGCATTGAGCATACACAGTATAATAAGCATCAACGGAGAATAGATTTGATATGTAATAAAGGGTAGGCATGTATACATATATATCGCATATACATATATACTTGTGTATACACATATATAGGGAACTGGACCTGATGATTCTTTATGGGTCCCTTACAATTGAGATATTCTATGGATCTATGATCCCTCTGTTGAAAGTCTATGTGATACAATATCAAACAGCATTCAGCTACATTCAAGTTTGCCAAGTTTATACAACTGTAAAATTAAGGTCAGAGTTTAACTATGGCTAATGTGGCTGTCATTGGCTTCTGTCCTTTTCGCTTTTTTATTTATTTTTTTTTAATATCTATGTTCAGCCTTTTTCTCTACAAAGTTGTCTAAAATTTTGTTTGCTACCTTGCAGCCTTACTGTTAGAAATCAAGATGAAGAGAGAGCAAGGACAACATCTCATGAACTACAAGCAGAGGGTATTCCAAACTGTGAGGAAAGGTATGGTCTTTATTAAGTGTTCTGTCAAGCTAAAATGAAACAAACCCAACAAACCACATTAAGTAATTTCAGTGAATTACCTGAAACATGAAAATAACTATTAGCTACTAGTCATCTGGTTTTTACCTCCAAAGGTCTGATCTATAATATTTTACCTTGTTTATATGCAGCATGTAACCACACGTAACTACTCTCATAACATGACAGATCAAAGCTAACATTGTAAACAGTCTCCCTTTTTTCTGAAATAATTTGAAAATACATCCCACCAGCTACTATATAATGAGGTTAACTAGCAGTGCTCAGCCTTACAAAAATAATAAACATAAAAAGGAGCTCAGATCCTCCCAAGAGTTAAGCAACAGTCTCTTCAGAACTGCTCAAACAGGAAAAAGCAACTGCAAAATGGTAATATACAGGTGGGTACCTTTTACAGTGTTTGAATCATTGCTTCTTTATACAGATTTTCATTCAATTTTTAACGATTTTTAACAACAACAAGGATTATTAGGTATAGAAAAAACACTTAGCTGTTGCAGAGGTACTTCTTTGTTGCAATTACTTTGAGCAGTAAACTGCAATTTCTGCATCAAAGCACTGGCAATCATCTGCATCAGAGCTTCTGATAAGCACACCTTCAGAAAACATCTTATAAATGTATTTACTAGAGTTTGCACTTGGATAGTTCCAGTGAGGAATCAGAGCCCCAAGAACCTTACGATTTTGTTCCATTGTGATGGCATGTACCTCCTCCCAGCTGCAAACAGCTTGAGTAACAATCACTTATTTCTCTCTTCTTGTGCTCTTCTTCCTCCTCAAGCCCTGCTCCTACTCTTGAAGAAGTAAATGCCTGGGCTCAGTCATTTGACAAGTTGATGCTTACACCAGCTGGCAGAAATGCTTTTCGTGAATTTCTACGAACAGAATTCAGCGAGGAAAACATGCTTTTCTGGATGGCCTGTGAGGAACTAAAGCAAGAATCCAACAAAAGTGTCATTGAAGAAAAAGCAAGACTAATTTATGAAGATTATATTTCTATCCTTTCTCCAAAAGAGGTATATTACTTTTCCTCATATGTTCTTTGATGTTGCTTAGCACAGAAGTTCTAACTTGTTTAAGGCTACACCAGTACTCAGGGAGAACTTTTTCCACAACTCCAAGTGCACTTCCATCAAGTAGAGATTTAGGGGAAGGAGGCACCCATCACTGAGGTGAAATGGTCAAAACTACTTTCACTGGTTGTAAGAAAGTGCATCCTATGCTACCATGGCATGCTGACATGGAATTTTTAGATTGAGGCACAAATACACAGATGATCATGTTATCCTTGCTAAACTTAAATTTCATCTGTTGGACAAAGTTTCTTTTCTTGTTGCACTAGGAAGGTGGTGTATGTGTCTCTCCAAAAGCACATTAACCACAAATAAAGTGTTATTTGCAAATTGCTCGAAAAGCAGCTGACAAAATATGCCATAGAACAAACACAACAACTTTCTGAAAATTTTTAAAACTACTTGTCACTTCACTGTTAGCAAATATGTCAAGCTTAAAAGACACCTCTGTTCAGTTTGAACTGCCAAGCAGGCTGGAATTTTAAACCTTTCAATATCCTTGCAAAACTGCAACTTAATTGTCTGTGGTGCAAGCTATACTTACGTACTTATAAAAATACTGTTTAAACCTAGTCGGTCTACTCTCGTAATACTAAAGTCTTTCTACAGACACTAGAGCCTTGTAGAAAGAAAAAATTACATTACTTGTATGTTGTATGGAATTATTATATAACCATATCTGTGGTTCACATCAATTCACCCTGCTTTTTAACAGGAATTTGATTAAGCAACAGCTTCCCAGGTTACATTTTCCGACTGCGTCATACTGCTTACTCCAAATTCAGGCTCTTTACAAGAGCACTAACTCTCCAGGAAATGAACAGTCACAAAAAATTACAAATTCTCTCTACCACAGAGCAGGAAGTTGGTCTGAAAATAACCCACCCGTCTCTAAGGCTTCAGTAATAATGGGATTGCAGGCAGCCTTGTTCAAGTAAGATACCTCAGTGAAGACATTTCTGTATCCATAGTCAAGATATTACTACTTCCAAATTTTAACACAGTCAATTTTGCCTAAGTATATTTATCAGTTTTTACACTCTTGGAGGACACCAGCTGAAATGGATAAAAAAGATCGCTTTTTCAATCTATAAAAGAAACCTAAAACCCCACCTGTACTATTCATCACTATTATTTATGTGACTTTCTATTTTAATACACAGGTCAGTCTGGACTCCAGAGTAAGAGAAGTGATTAACCGAAATATGCTGGAACCCTCACAACACACCTTTGATGACGCACAGCTTCAAATCTATACCTTAATGCACAGAGACTCTTACCCACGGTTTATGAACTCTGCTATTTATAAGGACTTGCTTCGGTCCTTATCTGAAAAACCTGTTGAAGCATAGAATTTTTTCTTAAATGTATTTGTTTTAAAACAAATGGAACTCTGGGCTACACAAATCCACAGGGAATTTAGCATTAATCAGATATCCACCTGAAAATAACTCAGGCAAGTTTTACTACAGACTGAATTATTTAAATCCGCACTGACAGGCTCTGTCACAATCAGCTAAATATGGTTTCTGATCAAATTCAGTGTTATTTTCCAAAAGGGAATGAAAACAATGAAGAGAAAATGTTGTTCAAAAATGCAGTATTTTTTCAAACACAGCACACAACTCGGAAGCAAAATTGTTACAATGTGTGTCTGAGGTACAAATGCCAACTGAGCATGAAAACTAAAATTAATTTTTAGTGGAGTGTTAGAATTGTCTTGAAAATTAAATCAGTTGCCCCATTCAAACTGTGACCCAAGTTAAAAATATTACTGTCAATACTGTGTTACTTACTCCAGGCAATGCCATCATACCTGGCATAGGTACACTCCACTTGTTTTGGTATAAGTAACGTGTACACGGTGTGCTAACGGAAATCAGCACAGCAATCTCAAGTTTATGAAAGTTGCTGGTTGAAATAATGCTGCCTATAAAAAAAAAAAAACTTTTGATGAAGAGTTATTATTTTACTACAAAAATCTGCTGAAAGCATTAAGTTCCTATAGTTGATGTTTATAAAGTTAAATTATTTACTTCAGAGGAAGATGTGTCTGGGCATTCAAATTCCAAAATAAAGCACAAGAATTGTCACATATTCTTCTTTTCCCTCAGTAGGTATATGTAAAATCCTTCACTATTCACTCCCAAGAGGATAGCAGTATCAGCCATCTTGGTTTTGTACATATTAAACTCCCCCATTACCTGACAGATCTTATAAGGTTTCTATTACCCACACACACAATTTAATTAATAAAAGCAGAAAGCTTGAACTGTTGTGTTCTGACACAGCACTATTTCAGACTGTCTGACAGCACCAGCTCTATCCAGTAATAAACCATGTTCATTTACTGGAATCTCCAAAGCATTACACTTGATTTCTCGTCATATCTCTAAACCATTAACCACAGGAAATACCAGGAAGAAAGTAAGTTGAATCCACATAATCTATGTGTAGGTCTGTAATTCTAATATCTCCTTTCTTTTAAACTACAAGATTCACTACAATTCCACTATACTAAACTCTGGAGCTTATAGTGGATTTCCACTGAATTGTATTTTTTCCGGCCTATTTATTTAAATGAACCAAATGGCACATATAGTTACGAAACTATATATGGAAAACAGAATGAAAAAAAAATACCCCTAGAAGAGGAGAACCAGACAGGCATATTTCAATGATGTGTACTGTAGCCTTTCCAAAACCTACTCTTTGCCTAATTCCAGCACTATGGGAAGTACAAAATGGGGATTTTCTCTAAAAAAAGAAATGGGAATAACACAATAGAACTTGAGAGATCAATTTAATTGTTTCCTCAACACCCTTGGCAGGAGACATATTCTCCTCTTACTGCATCTGCATTATTAAACAAATTAATGATGAGATATTTCATTACACAGCACCACAGGAGAAGACCCAATACATGGTAAGTTAACAATACTATGGACCGGTTCAAGGCCAGGTTGGATGGGGCACTGAGCAACCTAGTCTAGTAGGAGGTATCCCTGCCCATGGCAGGGGGTTGGTACTGGGTTAAGTTCCATTACCACCCAAATCAGTCTATTAATCCATGACTAGTTTTCATCACCTCCTTCCAACACTATAACACCATTTAATATGTCAGCACAAAAAAGTAAACAAAAAAAACCTAGAGAGAGCAAATCAAAGTGTTTTTGCCCTCTGTAGCACAATGCTGGATGACTAAGCTAAGAGGAAATCCTTCCATATATAGCAACTTAAGACACAATTCAGTTAATGTTTGCCACTGCTTAACCTATCAACACTGGTTATCTCAGCTGAATTTTTATTAAACACACCCAAAGTACTATCAATACAATTTCATTTTACATGAAGTATTACATGATAAGTAGTAACTTCAATAAAACAAACTAGATCTCTTCATAAGGTAGCATTCATAGGGAGTTTACAGTTGAACTGACAATGTAGTTCTTTTAATCAGGGCAGGTAAGAGTGCTCTAAAACTCTTAAGCTGACAAATTAAGTTTAACTAGGTCAAATTAAGCTTGCTGGAAAAATGATATGTCTAGATGACAAAAACTTCAAAGGACGTCATCTCATGAAATGGAGGATTTAATTTCTTTTAAGTTATTTCTCTTCCCTGCAAAGATACTTCATTAAAAGCCGAAAGACAGACCAAACACTCACACTTCATATCAAACGGTAAATTCTATTATTCTGCAAGAAAAAGAAGAAAAAAAATGCAATGAAATCAGAGGAGAGAGAAACCTATAATGGTTTGGGTAGTTCTATGGTTAACATTAAATTATTAAAATAAGAAAGTAATAATTTCTAAGCTTACTTTTCAACTTCTAAACAATTAAAAATCTCCAGACAATTTTCATTTTACTTCTGTATTACAATATGTTGACATTTGCAATCTGTTTTTCCTGAAATATCTTAACAAATTTTAATGCTGTGTTTTAGAGTTAAGCTTGCACCCAACACCAACGGCAGAATGCAGATTCCTAGATATCCTGACAGTATTTCCTAAAAACCCAAACAACCCACTCCCCTACATATCTTGCTATTTTGTGGCTGGTTAATGCTGGATTTAATTGAAGTAAGTCATGGAGGTGGGAGGAGGAGGGGGAAGATACATACTTGCTCATGATGCACAAAGTTCTCAGGGCAAAAGCGAGGTGCACTGAAAAGGAGAAGTTACCATAGACAAGCTGTTACATGAATAGCAGGAGAAAATAATCATATTATTTATAATTAATCAAGAAATTATCACAAAATCAATTTATCCTAGCTTGAAAATGAGCACGGTTGGTTTGCCTTGGCATTTATCTAACTGCAGGATATCATTAAGCTCTAACAACTTTCCAGTCCACTGGCATTCTTCCTTCAATGTCTGCACATCATAAAGCAGTAACTCCCACAGAACATGCATACTGTTAAAGATTGCTCTTTTTCACCAGCCTGCTGAGCACTATTAAAATTGCATGGGCTTCTTCAGCCAACATATTGTGCTTTACAGTGACCTTTAAATTCCAAAGTCATTAGCACAATATAAACGAAGGAAAAAAACCCCATATATGTAGGTACTCTGAAGGGCTTTACTATATAAAAGTTAGATTAAAATTTATCACACAAGCATCATGTACTTATGCAGTTTCTTATTACAAAGCATTCATGAGGATCAGCACGGCCAAGTCAGATATGGCAACGCACTTTCTGAGCCCTTTCTAATAAAGAATGGTGTGAAACAAGGTTGCGTTCTCGCTCCTACCCTATTCACAGTCTTTTTCAGCATGATGCTCCAAAGGGCCACGGCAGACCTCGATGATCAGGACGGTATCTACATACGATATCGTACTGACGGAAGCCTATTCAACCTAAGGCAACTGAAGGCCCACACCAAGACCCTAAACTATCTTGTCCGGGAGCTGCTTTATGCTGATGACGCCGCCCTCGTCGCCCACACAGAAGCAGCCCTGCAGCGTTTAACATCCTGCTTTGCAGACGCTGCTGAGCTCTTTGGGCTGGAAGTCAGCCTAAAGAAGACTGAAGTTCTCCATCAACCTGCACCTCAGGAAGTCCCCCATCATCCCCACATCACCATCGGTCAATCAGAACTCAAATCAGTCCAACAGTTTAATTACCTAGGCAGCCTCATTCCTCGGATGGTGAGATTGACGGGGAGATAGATAACAGGTTAGCAAAGGCATATAGTGCTTTTGGAAAGCTTCATAAAAGAGTCTGGCGAAATAAACACTTGAAGAAAAGTACCAAGATCAGTGTTTACAGAGCCATTGTGCTGTCTACTCTTTTATATGGCTCCGAATCATGGGTCATCTACCGCCACCACCTGCGACTCCTAGAACGCTTCCATCAACGCTGTCTCCGCACAATCCTAAACATCCACTGGTCAGACTATGTGACCAATACATCTGTTCTCGAACAGGCAGCAATCACAAGTATTGAGGCCATGTTGCTGAGAACACAGCTGCGTTGGGCTGGGCACGTCTCTAGGATGAAGGACCACCGCCTCCCCAAGATCCTGCTTTACGGTGAACTTGCCACTGGCTGCCGCAAGAGAGGAGCCCCGAAGAAAAGATACAAGGACTCCCTGAAGCAACAACTCAGCCTTGGCCATATTGATCACCATAACTGGTCTACTCTGGCCTCCAATCGGGAGGCCTGGAGACAAACCATTTATAACGCTGCTGATGCTTTTGAGAAAGCACACAGGATCACCCTTGAGGAGAAAAGACAACGCAGAAAGAATCGAGCCTTACAGAATATACCACCTAAGGAGTCTTTCTACTGTGTCTTTTGCAACCGGACATGCCTTTCTCGTATTGGCCTTTTTAGCCACCAACGCGCTTGCAAGAAACGTGGGTAGAGCCCTTCCCAAATCTTCGTTCGCGAAGCCTAGCCATGATGATGATGATGATGATTACAAAGCATATCTGAAAAAAGAGAAAGTGATGAGAAAGACTCTCACAATGTGAAGTAAATTTTTAACAACTTTGCTCTAAGCAGTACTTAGGAGCATGTGTCTTCTGCTATAAAAGGTATGAGTATTGTTTCAATGACACTAATGAAAGATTTGCTATACTAATGTTGTAACTAAATTAATCCCAAACCTTTTAAAACAGTAAAACAATTCAAGATTAGTGATTATCTATCGATACAGCTGTAAGAAATTGTAGTTAAAGAGGTGAAACTCCTCAGGTTGTTTATACGACTGTTATTTCAAGATCTATTTCCAAAGGCATGTGCTTGAAAGGTAATACAACCACATTTTGCAGAACAAAGACTTCATGTTTATGAATTTCAGTTTTGCCCAGGCTACTGTGGGTTGCAAGTTTCGATTTAAAATTCACGTATGTAACCACAAGTGGAATCCTGCACTCTGGATAAAAACTAGGTACTTCCTTTGCAATGCCTGGAAAGTGCAATAGGGCTGCAGCGTGGGATTCACAAAAGCCAAGATCACTGGGCCGATATTTACCTTCTACATAGTGGTAGTCAAAAAGAACTATTCAGTACAAGGTATTTTAAAACCTATACTTTCTCCTGAAGGAGATAACAGAATATATAAGGAAATGTCTTATATAAGAGGAAATGTCTTGTAATGAGGGATAAAAAAGTTGTGTTTTCTGAGCAGAATCCTCTAGCCTTGCTTACAGAAGATTGGAACTACACACACACACTTTAAAAGGAATGTGGCCCCCTCTTTCTCTCTACTAGATTAGTGTAAAAACTAGCTTAAATTATAGAGTAACTATGTTTCATCTGAGAGAAATCAAGTGTCGATAAAGATAATAACAAACCTGCTATTCTCAGATGGGAGAGATTCATCACCAGTTCTGCCAGCATGTTTTCACTGCATAAAATATCTGAATGTACTGGGTCAGTCATGGCACAACTGCAGCTCAGCAGACAAGCCAGCCAACTGAATAAAAGAGACAGCCCTAGTCCCATCTCTGCATCCTTCTCCTATACATCCTTCAGACTTTGCACCCCCTCTGACAGAGGAGGGCAACTTCAGACAGCTGAGAAAACTGCTGAACAGAGGTGCATCCAAAGCTCACTTTTAGAGAGTTTTAATTTTGGATTTAGATAATCAAAATAAAGCATGAATAGAATAGATGTATTGTTGGATCCAGTTCTTGGAATTCGTCTTCTGCTGGGCAAAGGAAACTGTTCTTTTTACGTTGGGGACAGAAGAGGGAAGAGTGAAGGCTGCATTTTATTTCAACTCCTACTTGGACACATCTACATCACAGAAAGCACTACCATAGTTCTAATTGTTTTAATAAAGTCCAGATATAACTTGGTGAGTACAGAAAGACAGTTGTTATATTTTCTCAAAAGATATT